TTGATCAAAAGCTTGAATTATTGTGGACTACAATGTTGCCTTGCTAGATGTAACAAGATGGATATTTATGTATTTGTTAGTTTTAAGTTTCTTCATTCTTTTTGGTGTTATTTATGGATTTTCTGGATTATGGAATGTTTATTATCTATTTATGTAAAACTTATTTATGTACATGGAGTGAACCTTTATAGTGTTTGTGAAAATTTTAGCATGATTCTTACCCTTTTTTATTTTTTATTTTTATGTCTTTATGTAATATTATAAAATTTATTTATCAACAAAATAAGTTGAATTTTGTAATTTAAATATTTGATATAGACTTCACATCTGCATGAATAAGGATGGAGAGCAGTTTTTGCCTCTTACCAAAAATCTCCATAAGAATCATTGTACTCGCCATTAACAAGGACATTGATTGGGAAGGGATCCCACAATCAGGGGTGGGCAAAAACTGGTTTTGGTTGAAATTGAAATCGGTTTTTAATTAACTAAATTTTTTTTTTTTCAATTTGAAGAATCGAAACTGAACTGAACTTTTTTTAATTTTTTTGGTTCGGTTGTTAAAAAATTGGTTATTTTTTGTTCAGTTTCAGTTTTTACCAAACAAATATTAATTAATTTTTTTTCTCAATAATAGATTATATTTTATATTATATTTTGTCATATTTTATCATATTTAACCAAAATTTATTTTACAGGAGACTGATTTCGGTTTTTGATTTTTAAAAGATTCAACCAAAATTAAACCAAAATTATTCGGTTAAAATTAAAACCAAAACAATAAAACTTAAAAATCATTTAAACCAAACCGAATTCATTTTTTTGGTTCAATTTCCGAGTAACCTTTTGTTTGCCCAACCTAATGCCCACCCCTACCCACAAACATCCCTAATTCAAACTTTTGACTTTAATTTCAAATTAAAATTTTTAAGTAATTAAATATTAATTTGACTAAATTTTTATTGGGTATAATTGCCTTATGATCGGATTGAATATTCATCTCTGTATGAATTCTTGTGCTATACTAAGTGAGATAATGGTTATAATTACTTGTTGACATGAATCATGAAGAATCATCGAAGGTACATTTGCTTCGAAAATAGGACTTAATTCAATGAGTAATCTATTAACAATTAGTCTAATTTTCTTTTAGTTTAAAAAATTATTTTTTTAATAGTTCATAAATTTTATAAAATATTTTAAAATAATCTATTATACAAAACTTCGGTTAATTGTAACAAGAAAATAACAAAAAAAATTAAATCAAAATTAAAATAGAATAGTCTTAACTAGTAGAGCAATTCACAATAGATTATGCAAATTATTAAAATATATTAATAATTGTGGTTTCTGTTACAAAAGAAAATTATCAAAAGGAAAAGTTAGAGTAACGTGCAATAAACGTTATAGTTCCTTAGCTAGTGAAAATGAATTTATCATTCTCATAAAACTAGTTTATATCAAAATTAATTTTAATGAGTAAAAATTTATAAAAGATATAGTTGAAAATTAATTTAATCAAATGGAGTGAAATTGTTGTTAGAAAATTAATATATTAAATTAAATTAAAAAGTAAAAGATAATAGATAAATTTAAAAGTATTTAAAAATAATAGACGAAGTAAAAAAATACAAAAATTACTAGATTGTTTATTAAATTAAATTCCAAAATATTTTAATCTAATTTTCTTATTTTGAAAAGGTTAAAATACTAATTTGATCCCTTAACTTTCATATTTGTATCAAAATTATCCTTCAACTTCAAAAAATACCAAATTGGCCTTAACTTTACTTTTTGTTACCAAAATAGTCTTTCAGTTAACAAAAGTGCCTTTTAGCTAATTATCTTACCACAAAATCAACTCTTTTTTAAAATAATAATGACATGTAGAATCAACCAATTGTATTTTTTTATCGTGATATATTTTCATTTTATATCATATAATTAAAATTGAAAAACCAAATTAGTATTTATAATCAAAATTTAAGAACTAAGTTAGTACTCATCTTTAAAATTCAAGGACTAAGTTGTTACTTACTTCAAAGTTTAAAAATTATGTTGGTATAAAAAATTAAAATTTAAGGATAATTTTGATATTTTTTGAAGTTGAAGAATAATTTTAAATAAATTTAAAAGTTAAAAGAACTGAATTGGTAATTTAACCTTTTGAAAAGGATATTTTGTGCATATCTTTCTATTATATATGTCAATCTATCTAGATTTCTGGTGGAGACCCAGGAAAAAAGGCTACAAAATGTCCTTAATGTTGTCCTTGATAACAGCCATTTAAGAAAATATTAGTGTCCTTAACACTTTGTGTTGTGTTAATAACCATGATCATTTCCAAGGTATAAATACAATATGTAGAGGACAGCAATCTAAATACATTAACATTAATTTTTAAGATGAAAGATTTTAATTTTGAATTACATGCTATGTAGGTGGAGTAATTCTACTAGAATATTAATCATTTATAAGTTAAGAAATGAGAAAAAATTTATAAGTTAAGAAATGAAAAAAATTTATTCTTTATTATGTAATTCAAAATTAAAAGATACGTGAAATATTTAATTTATATATCGGAGATCGAAAAAGCCGAGGTCCACTGTTATGCAGCTTCAGGAATTGAAGTGTTGACTGCAAATTAACATACAAAACATGAACAGATTCAGAGTATTATAGTAGTTTGGACTCGCAAGTCGCAAGAGATTCATCAGAAAAGCTTATCAACACTGGAAACAGTGCCAATCCGATATGTCTTCATTAGATTCAGGACAAATATATTTGTTGTGAGTTTGGACTTTGTTTATTAAGACCTCAAGTGCATGCATTACTCCAAATTTTCATGATCAAAGAGTCAACACCCCGGTTTCCCTGGGAAGCTAATCCCCTATGACACTGTAAATTTGTCCCCAAGAACAGTTGAATTTGTGATTATTGATAAATTTTATGTTCCAAACATCCCTTTAGGATCCCCAAAAGCCAAAGATCGATGCTTGTGTCCGTTCATGTATTAGCCACCTTCACTCTTCAATACCGCATAAAGAAAACACTCATTTAGTCCACATATATTCAATGTTTCTAATGAGTATCTAACCCTCAAGTAGAACAATTGGAAGATACCGAGGGGGGTCTCACGAATATTCTCACTCACATGCCACATGCATATATTAGACCAGTAAATTGGATTATATTGAATAGCAAAATAATAATTATTAAATAAAAAAAAACCTCTATTAAAGATTTACTTACTTTCAATGATTTATTTAGACTGCATATAAATATATTTGTTGGCAATGTATTAAACAATCATTATTAGGGAAGAAGGAGCCATAATAGTAGCTGGAGTAGGGAGAATCGGTGAAACTCAGACCAGACATAACTGAAAACTGTGAATTAAGAATTTGGTTACTGTTCAAAGAACGACAAAGAGAAGTGTTTTGGTCACAGCGTAGCAGGGAGGCAAAGGCAAACAGCGGTTTTGTTGGCCCCAGGCCTCAGCACAAGGAGACAAATTGAATCTCCTAAGTTAATATATCTTGTTCATCCCCATACATCAATGGTTCCTTGCCTTCATCAGTTCCCAATGCTTTGAATTTGATTAGACCTTTTAGTATATATATAAAACTTATATATATATATATATATTTGTATATTGTTGGTTCTTCCTTTGAGAAGAAAAAGAAAAGGAAAAGGGAAATCTTTTTTTACTGTTTTGGTCTCCACTTTCCCACTTCTCTGACCACTAAAGACACCATTTTGCCCTGACTTCCGGTCCCATGAGGCCCAAAGTAGTTCCCAATTTGGCTCATAGGTCATAATAATGCTAATTCATAATTAGGGGTTTTCTGATTCACTCAACATAAGTACAAGGATCTGATTCCTCTTTCCCTTTGATTAATAATAATACACAAAGAGAAAGAAACGAAACTGGTGGGAACATAAAAAAACTTAATGAAATGAAATATGAAAAACAAATACATTTACACCAAGTAAATACTAGCATAATAAAACTGGCAAAATATATATTATATTGCTGATTGATTTTCTGGCACTTGGATTGAAAGATTCATCAATCTATTGTCCATCATTCACTCTCTTTCTTTCTCAGACAAATCAATGGACTTATCATGGGATGCATCACTGACTGACCTTGCCAACATTGAAGCCTCTGAATCTGTTGACATAACCCAGATGATTAATTCAATAAAAATTGAAACTTGGAACTGTTTTCTGGCTTAATTTGAATCTGTGAACAAAACCCAGATGAAAAATCCAAAAAAGACTGAAACTTGAAAAAGTTGTATCTTTCTTTTTCTTTTTTTTTTTTTTCCCCTTGACTGAAGGGGTTGATGCGGAAAATTAGCTACCTCGGGAGGCATTGAAGGACCTTTTGCAGTGCAAGATGGCACTTTGGATGCCATCCTCTTGTTGCAACAGAGAATCGTCTCTCCTCTGGGAGGAAAACGGAGACGGTACGGCCGCCACGGCGGATGAAGCCGATCTACTTTTTCCCAAATGCTTACAGACCACTCTTAGCCTGGCAGGGATGTTTCCTTGTTTATAGCTCTTCACATTAGTATTGTTTTCGCCGACCTCCGCCTCTGGCTTCTCTTTCTCGGCAGTAGATTTCGCTGAAGACGATTTCTGCGCCGCTGTTGACGACGGTGCTGTGGGCTTTAAGGAGTTCAGGCTTAACTGTCCCGAAAACCGGAGTTTCTCTACGTACCTTCTGGAAACCCGAACGTAAAGAGGCTTAACTTTCTTTAAATACTTCTGCATTACATCTTTGGAGAATTTTTTCTCATCGGAACCCGATTCTTCGGTGTTCTGTTGCTTCTGACACTTGCTGTTGTCTCTGGTGAAGAGAGAAACAATAGGAACCTCCTCCACCTTGAATTTCACGGAGAAAAACTTGCTATTGTTATTTCCATTGTTGTTCTCTTCTTGTTTCTTCGGAGACCCATTTGTCTCCCCTGTTTTCTCGCCAGCATTCAGCTTCGATTTCTTCAACCTCAACAAGAAAACACGGAACTTTGTGGCGGATTTCAGCAGGGACACCGGGAATTGAGGCGGTTTTGAGTCAATCGAGGAGTTGGGTTCAATGGGTACCAACCTTCCTTTGAAGAATAAATCGTCTGACGGCGACAGCTCAAGATTCGGGTCGGTGAGGTCGTTGCTCGAGTCTGAGGAAAGCGTAAAGTTGAACTCCTCACCGTCAGACTCGGACCCGCTTTCCTCTTCCTCTCCGGCATTCTCTCGCTCTATCTTCTCGTTCCCCTCTGTTTCCTCCTCTGCTTCGTCTTCTTCATCATCATCATCATCATCATCAGGAACGGCGAACTCCAAATCAAAGAAAGGCCCGTCATCATTGTCATCCTCATCAGTATCCACCGCCTGATGGGTACTGAGTGCAGTAACAATCGTAGTAGTAGTTCCAGAGGCAATACCAGGATTACCACCACCACCACCACCAACAACACCACCACCACCACCACGAACAACCCGCAAACCACCGCCTCCCCTCCAGTACTTGAGCAGGCTAAAAGCTTCCATAGTTGGGAGAGCCAGAATAGTGTTGTGCGAATGTTGGGATGGTGGGTTTTTTAGAGAACTGAAGGGTAAAATAAAATGGGGGAAGTGACTAGTGAGTGTGGGGGAAAAGTAACAAGGAAAAAAGAGTAATGGAAGTGTGAATAATGAACAGGGAAGGGGGGATGGGGAAAGATATGATGTTTTTTTCTTACTGCAATACAGGTCTGTGGAGTGTAGACCACACAGGGGAATGGGGGGCTGCTGGCTGTTGTGCTGGCTTTTAATTTGTTCTGCTTTGTATTGTATGCAGGTGAGTCATGTGTAACCGCAGTCTGCAAAGTCAGAAAACAGAGTGATGAGGCCGGACAGCCTACGATTCTGTATAAATAAATATTACCCTCCATGTGAACCGAATTTTTAAGATCAATTGTTACTTTTTTTTAGTGTTTAGGTGAAATGATTGAAATTTTGATTTCTACTATCATAGTAAACTTTGCAAAAAAGCAGCATGATGATCGTGGGTTTCATTTATGGGGATAAAATGTTTATTTAATTTAAGAATCAATTATTAACAATTAATTTATATTAACTGTCCCGCATTTGGTGGCCAAATGGCCACCCCTTTCAAGAAACGTGCGTAGGATTATAAAGACATGAGATCAATTCCAAGTCCCTCCATCCCCCCTTCCCTCAAGAAAAAAGATTTCACACTGTTCAAAAAAAAATAATAATTTATATTAACTTCCTAAACATTACTTTTATAAAAAAATATATATATATTACCCTCCATACGAACCATATATACTACATTGAAGTACTCTCTAAGGAAAACTTTCCTTCTACTCTTACAAAATATTAGTACAGGAATATGGTGCTCATACTCTTCGTCAAAAACCTTTATTTTTTATTTTTTATTTTTTCAATTTAGAGTCAAAGTGTTTTTAATTAATTTTTATATATTTTGAAATTAATTTTTTTTAAAATTTAATTAATTGTTTTCTTGTTAAATCATTAATTGGCTTCTTATTCTAGTTTCATTTCAGCTTTATTTTTTTTTTTTCCATTTCTCACTTTAAGTCTTAAAACTTTAGCGGTGTAGTTAGATACAAATTATTTATATTAAAAGGATTTATTTAATTTGTATTTTAAAAATGTACTAAATATATATTTTTTATCATAAATTTATATTAAAAAAATAAAAATTAACTTTTAATTTATTAATTATCAAATTAAATTATCTAATAATAAAATTAATATCAATTTTTATATTTTTCTATATATATTTATACCAAAAATATATTAAAAAATTTTATCTTGTACTCTTAAGGCGCATGATAAAACAACCCATATTAAAATTATAAAAATTCATGAGACCAATTAACTTAGGTGCTGTTTAGCAGCTGCGAAAGCTATGTCATATAGTGGCACCTTAATTAATTGAACATTAATTAATAAAGTGTGGAGTAAATCGCTTTGAAACTTAAACCGGTAACTGACGCTCACTTCGAAGACCAAAAAATACTAACGCTCACCTCAAAACTGTTATCTTTGAATTTATTTCCTCACTGCTAATATAAACCCTCTATCTTTTTAGTTAGAGGGCAAAGAACCTGATGTTAATATGGAGAGGAATGTGACTAAACA